TTCAAGAGAATGAAACTGGATTATTGTCTAAATCCATACACAAAAGTAAACTCGAAATGGATCAAAGACCTGAATGTAAGTCATGAAACCATAAAACTCTTAGAAGACAACATAGGCAAAAATCTCCTTAATACAAACATGAGCAACTTTTTCCTGAAAGCATCTCCTTGGACAAGGGAAAGAAAAGCAAAAATGAACAAATGGGACTACATCAAACTAAGAAGCTTCTGTACAGCAAACGACACCATCAGCAGAACAAAAAGGTATCCTATAGTATGGGAGAATATATTTGTACATGACATATCTGACAAGGGGTTAACATCCAAAATATATAAAGAACTCACATGCCTCAACAACCAAAAAGCAAATAACCCTATTAAAACATGGGCAGAGGATATGAACAGTCAGTTCTCCAAAGAAGAAATTCAGGTGGCCAACAGGCACATGAAAAGATGCTCCACATTGCTAATTATCAGGGAAATGCAAATTAAAACCATAATGAGATATCACCTCACACCAGTTAGGATGGCCAGCATCGAAAACACTAAGAACAACAAATGCTGGCGAGGATGTGGAGAAAGGGAACCCTCCTATACTGCTGGTGGGAATGTAAACTAGCTCAACTATTGTGGAAAACAATATGGAGGTTTCTCAAAAAACTAAAAATAGAAATAGCATTTGACCCAGGAATTCCACTCCTTGGAATTTACTCAAGGAATACAAGTTCTCAGATTCAAAAAGACACATGCACCCCTATGTTTATTGAAGTACTATTTACAATAGCCAAGATATGGAAGCAACCTAAGTGTCCATCAGTAGATGAACGGATAAAGAATATGTGGCATATATACACAATGGAATACTATTCAGCCGTAAGAAATAAACAAGTTCTACCATTTACAACAACATGGATGGAGCTAGAGGGTATTATGCTCAGTGAAATTAGCCTGGCAGAGAAAGACAAATACCAAATGATTTCCCTCTTTTGTGGAGTATAACAACAAAGCAAAACTGAAGGAACAAAACAGCAGCAGACTCACAAACTCTGAGAATGGACTAGCAGTTACCAAAGGGAAGGTGTGGAGGAGGGTGGGTCAGGAGGGAGGGAGAATGAGATTGATGGGTATTATGATTAGTACACATGGTGTTGGGGGGATCATGGGGAAGACAGTGTAGCACAGAGAAGACAAGTAGTAACTCTGTGGCATCTTACTACACTGATGAACAGTGACTGCAATAGGGGCTACTTGATAATATAGGTGATTGTAGTAACCACATTGTTTTTCATGTGAAACCTTCACAAGAGTATACATCAATAATACCTCAATAAAAAATTATATATTATAAAAAAAACACATACACACAAAACAGTAATGCCTACAATCATATATGGGCATTTTAATATACCATTCTCACTGACAGAACATACCTTTCACATCATACAGTATTCTCTCTGTGCCTTTGTATCTTTAGATGGCCGGTTCTTATAAGGACACCAGTAATATTGGATTAAGAGACTATTCTGATCTAGTGTGATTTCATCTTACCTAATTACATGTGCAACAATCTTACTTCCAAATAAGGTCACATTCTGAGGGACTGGAGGTTATAGGACTCCATACCTTTTTGGGGCAACATAATTCAACATGTAACAGATATCTAAAAATGACATATTATTATTTTGATATATATTTATTTAAATATGATTAGAGGTTTTTTTCATCTTTATTGGGCATTTTTATTTTCTGTTAATTGCCTATTCATATCTTTTCTGATTTTTCTGTTAATTGCCTATTCATATCTTTTCTGATTTTTCAATTGGGTAAAGTATTTATTTAATTCTAATTAATTACTTTGAGGTGATCTTTGTGAAGTAAGGAAATTAATCTCTCTTCTACATCATATTTGTGTAAGATTTCCTGTTTGTCATTTGTCTTTTGACTTCATATATATGAAGTTTAAAATTCTGTATGATCAAATTTCTTATTCAGTATTGCTTTACAGTTTATAGATTTTAAGTTTTAATTTGAAATGTCTTTTCCACCCCCAAGTTAGTAAATAGAACCATTTATACTTTTTAAATTAAATCTTTCATCCATCTGGAATTTATTTTGGTGTTAAAGTGTATATCCCTTTTTATGGTTAAGGATATACATAGCCAATTATCCCAATAACACGTATTGAATATTCTTAAATAATAATAATTAACAATAATAATAATTGTCTGTTTCTGTCCCCTCATTTTGAAGGGAATGACACTTTTCCTTTGGTCTATTTTCTGTTTCCTCTGTAGTATAATCTTGTATTGATTTTTGAAGCTTTGTTATTTGTTTGAACAGGAAAGAGCTATTCTCTTATTATTCCTAAATATACTAAATGAATCTTGTCTCTGTTAATTATAAAATAACCTGCTGGTATTTTATTTGATATTTCATTGAATTAAAAAATATAAGGACTGTCACCTTTAAATAACCCCCTAGCATGCAAATTATGGTCTATGAATAATACCATGTGGTAGCAAAAGGAAACAGAGCTCCTTGAAGGTATGGTTCATTATAACTGTGTGGAAAAGAGAAAAAAAATTAGTAAGAGAGTCCTGAAGTGTCTTTTCAGAGCAATGGCAAAGGAAATAAGTAAAGCCTATTAGGGTTATGTCAAAAGAATGCAAGAACTCTAGAGCGAATTTAAAGCGGCTGCCTCTGGCCAATTAAGAACAATCTAAGTATCAAAAGGATAATAATTACAGTAGATTGGAACATATAGCACCATACAACAACTGTAACAACAATAAATTGGTCACCACTGGATAATGCTAGTAAGCTAAATGAATATTTTTAAAAGTATAAAGAAAATGAATAAAGAATCTTGAATTTCTACATAAATTATACCACTGGGTAATCAAATAGAAAATAACCAGTTTCTTTTTATAAATATATTCCAGTTAAGAAATAATGGAGGAAAAATAGAATATCGTTGTTTTGCAATACTTAACAGATTAATAAGCTTGGGCATTAATCATCAACTAAAAGAGAGAAAACCAAACATTACTTGCCTTTTCAAGGAAAAATGCATGACCAAAGACAAAGTAGTCTTGAAAGAAAAACAAGAACCTAAATTAAATCCAACGTCCGTATCTAACCTGCAATTTATGTTATATACACGAAAGAGACAAATATGTTTATACCATGGAGATGCAATCAGCAAAATTCATACTAAAGGAAACTTTAAAGGACAAACTACTTTTTTAAAACTGTAAACTGTAGACTTTTTTGGATTCTAATTCAAGGAGAAAAGAGTATTTTTCTGTTTTCATGACTGTTGAAAAACAATATAACATTTATGAAGCACTAACTGAATTGGTAATAGTAGAGAATTATTTTTAATATTTGAGTTTGACAATATTATTGTGTGTATATTTAAAACCTATTGATTTTTAGAGACACTGGAATATTTAAGGATAAAATGATGTATCTCCTTTTTGCTTCAAACTAATATAAGATGGGGAATAGAAGAATATTAAAAACATGATTAGTCACTAATTGATATTCTTGAACCTGCATGAGGTACACTATAATTAATTCTCTCTACTTTGTGTATGTTTAAAACATTTTATAATAAACTTGTTGAATTTCCTATCCAAGAGAGTGTTGTCTTTTCATTTACTTAAATACATTGATCTAGTCTTAGGAGAGTTTAAAAGCTTTCAAAAGCTTTCTTCTTTAATCTTAAATTTACTTCTATGGCTTTTATCTTTTTGTTTGCTACTGTGAGATCTTCCCTGCTCTATTTTTTTTTTAACTGGCTATTGTTTGCACATGGGAAAGTTATTTTTGTACAATAACGTTAAAGGGGCCTACTATTCAATTCTTAATGTTTCTTGGACATTTTTAGTATATTGATTTTTCCATGTACATAATTGCTATATAGTGAGTGGGCCCTCCCCACCCCAAATCCATTATGTTGAAACCTAATCTTCAGTGTGATGGTATTAGAAGATGGTACCTTTGGGAGGTGATAGGATTATGAGTATAAAACGTTCATGAATGGAATTAGTGCCCCTAGAAAACAGACTCCAGGGAGTTCCCTTGCCCCTTCCACCCTGTGAAGACAAAGTGAGAAGGCAGCTGTCTATGAACCAAGAGGTAGGCTTTCACCAGAAACCAGATCTGCAGGTGCCTTGATCTTGTTCTCAGCCTCCAGAATTGGGAGAAATAAATTTCTGTTGTGTATGAGCCACCTAGTCTATGGGATTTTGTTATAGTAGACTGAACTAAGACAATAATCATATAATCAGAAAATGATGATAAATTTGCCTCTTTATTCCTTCCTCAAATTTATATCTTCTATTTTATTCTCTTGTACTGACTGCTCATTCCAAAGCAATGTTATAGAACTCTTGCAAGTGAGTATTCTTATCTCATTCTCAATTTTACTGATAACAATCCTAAGTTTGATGCTTGTCTGTTGTTTGGCATATATATTAAAAGATCATGTAAGAAGTATCCATGTGTTCGTATTACTTTCAGTTTTTGTTGTTTTGCTTTAATCAGAAATGACTTTTAAAAAGATAATCAGTTTCTTATTAAGACATACATATTTCCACTTAAATTCATTTATAACTTACAGACAATATCCAGAATAGAAGCTATTTTTAAAATATAGGGGAAATACACTCATCCTTCAAAAGATCTGAAGTATAAGACTCTTCAGAAAAAAAGAACAAAAACATTGGCACCAGCTTTTAAGTTACAAATCAAATTTATTTTCTACTAATACCTTTATATAAAAAATCCTCATATAATAAGTTTTCAATTTCCAGAAAACAGAAATACATGGAACCATAACAATCTAGCACAAGAAAAAAGAATGTATAAATACTCTGTTCATTAAATGAGATTTGTCCTGTTATGACATGATTTTAACAAAGGAGTAATCTTATGTTTTAGTGATGCATAGAATCTAACAGTGTAACTCAAAGTAAGTTTAGTTTCAATACTTACTCTTCTAATGAATGTGCAGAGAACTGGGTCAATTTTCCATTTAATGAACTTTTCTATGAAGGAAGAGAAATAATAGTGGGTAAACAACAATGAGGACAATTTGCCCCTGGAATTGTACTGACATGTAGTAAGATTTTTATTATTTTACAGTGATTTTTCTACAAAGCACATTTCTGAAATAGTAATAAGAATTACTGGGATATATAATTGGATAATTTTTCACTCTACCATTTTTAAATATTACCCCTAATCACCAAATTGAAGGTGAGGTATAATTTATTAAGAAGAATGAACACTAATTGAGAGATCATAATTTTCTTGACTTCTTCTCACCTCTATTTCTCTCTATAAATAAGGAGGTAGGTCCAGTTGCCCTCTATGATATTTTCTAGCTATGAGTTTCACTTAGTTATCCACTTAAAAGTCTCTATTAGTAGTTACAACTGTAAAAAAAAAAACAATCTGGCAGTTTTTAGTCTATCCCACTTACATTTATGGATATAATAGAAATTGATCCTAAATCTGTTATCTATTTTTTGGTTATACTGCTTACTTTGTTGATATATTGTGCTACACAGATTTTTTAAACTTAACTTTAAGTGATATATGTTGATATTCCTCTATGTAAAACTAAGAAAAAAATGTACATATTTTTATTTCATCCCACTTATTCCTCTCTATAATTTATTTTTATAAAAGTTTTTTGGTCCTTCAGAAAGCTGCCTCCATAACCTTGAATGATCTATTCAAGCTTCTGTTTCTTTAATGCTTTATTCTATGTACTATTAACTCCCTGCTAAGAAAACTGGTCAGAAAACCACATTTTTTCCCATATTCTTACCCTCATTATGACTTCCCAACTCTGATGTTTTCTGTTCTTTATAACATTACTATAACTCTGAGAAACAACTGGAATATGGAATAGTCTCACTGGCATTCTTGTCTATTTTATTGTTCCTCTGGTTATAAGCAAATAAGGTAAGTGACAGCAACTACTACCCAATTTAGATGATTTAGATGATGACATTTAGAACTTTTGAGTTGATGAGGTTTAGATGAGCTTTTTGGACTTCTAGTTGGTGCTGTAATATGATGAGACTTTGGAGGATGTTGCATTTGGCATGTGGATGGACATAAATCTTTGAAGGCCAGAGAGTGAATTGCGAAAGGCAGAGTTAATAACCTCCCAAAGAAGTTTACACTCAATTCCTGGAACCTGTGGATGTTACCTACATGGCAAAATGAACTTTGCAAATATTTTGCAAGTTATAGAGCTTGAGATGGGGAGGATTATTTTAGATAGGCTGTCTGGGTCTAATTTAATCACAGGATGTCTCCTGCAAAGGTATAGAGGAAGAGAGTCTTTGAGCTAAGGAATGTGGGTGGCCTCAGGAAGCAAGGAATGGCTCTCAGCTTACAGGTAGCAAGAAAATGAGAACCTTAGTCCTAGAATTGCAAGGAAATGAATTCTGCCAGCAACTCAAATTAGCAGGTAAGAATTCTCCCCTAGAACCTCCAGAAAGGAATGCAGCCCTGTTGACTTGATTTAGTCCAGTGAGACCAACACCAAATTTCTGATCTACAGAACTGTAAAATAATAAATTGGTGTTAGTTTTAAGATACTAAATTTGTGATATTTGCTAAGGTAGCAGTAGAAAATGAATACACACTGTTTAGTTCTATTCCTCCCCTAGATTAAAGGTATTCCACTCTGAGATCATGTACCTACTTCTTGAACAAATCAGGATCCTATTTGCAAGAAGGAAGGGTGGGTGGAGGGAGAATAGCATTGACCAATGACTGTCACAAATGACTAATCCTCTTGATTAGTCTTATCTCTCAGGCTTCCACCTCATGCTTTATGATCCAGCAACTCTAATCTATGAGACTGTCTTCTACTTCTATGCTCTTGGTAATTCAATTCCCTCTCCCTATAATACCTCCAGCCAACTGCTTTTATTATCCCATTAACCCAACTCTGGCTTTTATTCTTTGAAGTACTGCTTAAGATATACTGTCTTCCACTAAGCCTTCTCTTCAAGATAAAATTATACAGTCTTTATTCAATTCTGTTTCTGCCCTATGTCTATACTGTAATTACAGTATAGACCATAATATACTTATGTATTTATTTTCAGTCTCTCCTAGCTACCGAGCTCAATAAATGTTGAATATAATCATTATACTTAATAATATGAATTGAGTGTGTGAATTATGCATTCTTCACAAGGAAATTATACTGGATAGTACTAGGGACACACACTTTTTATAGTTCACATTATGAGATTTTAAATATACACAAAGGTGAAGAGATCATTATAATGAATTCCCATTAACTATAATTCAGTTTCAATGGCCATCAACATTTTCATATACATTTTAAAATCAGCTGGAAAGTCAACGGCAGTTTATTCCCCCAGAAGCTAATTTGATGTTAACAGGGATTGTTTGATTTATGCCTAAAGTGAGGCAATAGATTTCAATTCTCCAGGATTACAGTTCTCGTGAACTTTAACAGCAATAATGAACAAAACTCTCATCTCAGGAGCTATTAGATACTACCAGTGACCAAGAAGAGATGAAATATGGGGTCTATTAAAGACGAGAACTTGCAAAACACTTCACGAGTGTACTAAATGGCCACTACACGTTACAGGACTTGTCCATGAAAGCAATTCCGCCCACTTCTGAGTTAATTCAAGAGAATGCTAAGGTGTTCTGTTTTCGTTAAAAGACCCACTTCAGTGTTAGCAACAGAGAAAATGTGTCCCTGGCTCTCTTGGATAAATTGGATAATTGGATATACCGCATTGACTGAAGATTGTTTGAATTCATTTACCCGGAAACACAGAGTGCACTAAGGATCTTAACGGCTTTTGTGTCCGCATTGCGGCAGGGGCTCTTCTAGGGAGACAGGGGTGGGTGGGGGAGAAGAGGGCAGCGTTTAGTGGAATCCCTTCGAGAATCTAGAACCCAAGTAAAGGAGCACACTTTAAAAAGTAGATGGAATGCAAGAACAAAGGCTCGAACGGGGGCCTGGTTAAGCTCACCGTCAGCAATAGCAATAACCTAACGGTCCTCGGGCGAACAGAAAAGGCCAGAACTACACTTCCCAGAATGCAAAGCGAAGGGGCGTCGCTAAATAGAGCGTGTGTTTTTACCTCAAGTAGGCTCGCAGCGCTTCAGTTTTATTGTAAACTCCAGTCGCTCTTTCTGTCTCCACTACCTTAGCCTAATTGGCTAGGTAGTCCGTGCGTAGGAGGGCGATTCATTCGTCACTGGCAGCGATTGAATGGAGTCTGTCGGCCCCGCTACCTCACGGTAATTGAAGTCGTGTCTTTGGTTGGAGCTGCAGCTCTTCCAGTCTCTTCAGAACAAGAGGACTACATTTCCCAGGGGGCTGCGGGGCTGCCGGCGGCGTGGGGGCGGTGCCTCACGTCTGGTACAGTCATCCCAAGCCTCTTCGGCGGGACTGTGATGGCCGGAGAGATGACGATCTTAGGTCAGTAACCCGGTGGGTTCCTTTACCTGCTGCGGGCATCGGAGCGCTGTGGGGAGGCCGGGGTGGGCGGGGGTGGCTGTCTTACCTACTGGATCCAGCTAGCGCAGCGGCAAGGACTCCGGAAAGGCGACTTAAGGGCGGTTTGGGGCTCCTCTGGGCGCCGGTTTGGGGGTCGCCTTTTAGGGTGGCCCAGGCTGTAGCAGGCCTAGGTAGGGCCGCCTGCGGCCCTCTGCATACGTCCCAGAGATATCGGGCCTCGGGAATGGTTCTTTCCAAAAGAACATCGATTTTGAACGGTTGGTCGCATTGGGGCCTTTGAGATGCTGCAAGAACGACATCTCTAATACCCTTTAGTGGAGGAGCGAAAGCATCGTTCTGAGTTGTAGACTCCTGTGATGCTGGATTTTGAGAGATCCAGGCCTCTTATGTGTAGTCTAATGATCTTTTCCACCAGTTCGGGTTAGGAATTATCCTTCTCCGACGAGAATGTGGTGAAGTGCTTCTGCGATTTTGCACGTAGAAGCAAGAGGAAACTGGGGTTAATACTTGATTTCATTTCTTTGAATTATGTGTTGAGGAGGAGGAACTAGCATTTATGAAAAGAGACTCCTACAAATTGATGTTTTGGGTCGGAAAATGCACACAGGTGTTATATTACAGCCTCCTGAAACCAAAAGTAGATTAATTGTAAATTGGCATCTTTCTTCCTCACGTATGTTCACATTCTGCCTGGCGTTTGTTAATATCGGTGTTTTTTTTTTTTTTTAATCTGAATATTTGTTGAGCATCTGCTCTTTGCTTGGAACCATTCCTGGTGCAGGGGATACAACAATTAACAAAATCTGCCTTCAAGGGGCTTCCATTTATGTTGCCATCAGGGTAACAAACTTTTCTGCTTCTCCTTCCTAAATATTTACCCATACAATAAGAATATCCTTAATTCATATTTAAATACAGAAAAAGGTAGTTATGTTCTGTTATGAAATGATAGTTCGGTATACAGCAACTTTCAAAATCATTCTATCCAATTTATACATTTTTTCCTTTTGAAAGGAGAAAGGAAATAAAGGGGATAAAGAGTTTTAGCTTTAAATAACAGTTTTTTGTGTGGTAATTTTAATAATGGGATTTCTTTTTAGTGATAACTAGAGCTATTTATAAAGCTAAAATATCTAAATAGCAGTTTGTCAAGAAATTGGATTTTATCTACCTTTGTTACAGATGAATGGCTTTTTCTGTCAGCAACAGCACAATTTTGTAATGTTTTTACTTTTAATTCACCCATAAGTGAAGTACACGTACAACTACAGAAGTTGTTTTTCTTGTCACTCCATTTTAATTGTGTTATGTAATAACTTCATAAGAAACTTGGTGTCTGAGAGAAGTATTATCATTAGCATTATAAAATAAAATATTTTGACAGTGTGTAATTTTAGTCTTGCCTCAAAGAGTGGTATTAAAGGAACTTTGCTGTAGTAAATCAGTATATTGTGCTAGTTTGATAAGATACATCTTTTAATTTGCCTGTATTTCAGGATCAGCTGTTTTGACTCTCCTGTTGGCTGGCTATTTGGCACAACAGTATTTACCATTGCCTACTCCTAAAGTGATAGGCATTGACCTGGGCACCACCTACTGTTCTGTTGGGGTGTTTTTTCCTGGCACAGGAAAAGTAAAGGTCATTCCAGATGAAAATGGGCATATCAGCATACCCAGCATGGTGTCCTTTACTGACAATGACGTATTTGTGGGGTATGAAAGCTTAGAGCTGGCAGATTCAAATCCTCAGAACACAATATATGATGCCAAAAGATTCATAGGCAAGATATTTACCCCAGAAGAACTGGAGGCTGAAATTGGCAGATACCCATTTAAGGTAAGTGATTAAGCTAAAAGCTATTTTAATTTTAGCATACTGTTTCAATTAATGCTTTAGTTTCTAGTTGTAAAACATTCTAGTTCAAATTTTTTATTCTTCATGGAAGTTATATTATCTCGCATATCAAGCAATCCTGCAGCAACTCCAGGATGAGTTAATTTAGTGGCTATGCAGTGCTGTTAATGGAGTTAGAGCCTTACTGTATTCTTACTCTACCATCGCCAGAATGTCTTCTTAGTTCTTTACCAGGAAGACTAATAAAGCCCCATTTCCTATAAATCCATAGATGGACAGATATATATATATATATATATGTTTGCATTCTTAAAAGAGATGATACTAGGCACATTGCCTTATGACTTCTTTGAAACTGAACAATATGTCATGGGCAGTTAGTCAATATGTTCACATCATTATCTTTCATGGTTGCATAGAACTATTCCGTTACTTAAGTATCCAGTCTTGACCAGTGTACATTTTATTTTTTCCCTGGTTTCTACCAAGGGAGCCTAAGTGAGTATCCTTGTACACATATCTTTGTATACTTCTCTGTTAATTTCCTAAACTTGAATTCTAGAAGTAGAATTGATAGGTCAAATGTGTGTTTTAATGCCTTTGATTTATTTTGCAATCAGAAAGTTCAGTGCTCTTAACTACTATCTTTTAGAGTGCCTATATCTTCACTAGTTTTTTGTTTTTTGTTTTTTTGCCAATAAAGAAGTGATAAGTAATATTTTGTATTAATTTGTATTTCTTTGATTATTAGTGAGGTAAGATACTTTAAAAAATTATTGGCATTTTTATTTTCTTCAGTGATCCATTTCTTGTCCATCATTCTACTTCATTTTGGGGTGTTTATCTTTTCCTTTATGATTATAAAGTAACTGTGATATGTTCTCAGCATTTTTTCCTTTGTCTTTTTTTTCTTTTTTTAATTGATACATCATTTTGTTTTCAAGCTGTCAGGAGTGTTAAATTTTTATGTGGTAGAATCATCTCTTGATTTTTTTTTTTTAATAGTGGTAGACTGTTAATGTACATAGGATGTCCTTTCTCATCCTATCCATAATTTTTTCCACATGCTCTTATATGAGTATTTGTAAGTCTGGGTTTTGCTATATTTTTTTCTTTTAAACATTTAAATGTTTTTTCCAGGTAGGGCTTTTGTGATAAATTATGAAGTAGAATTCTAAATGAATAGGTTTTAAAATGGGTAATTGTTTTAGTGCTACTTACTGAATAAAAATTTCTGAAAACTTTTTCAAAGGAGAAAAAAAATTTGCTCCACGTATTTCTTAGATTTATTTCTTCGTTCTTTTTTAGTTTCTGCCTAAGGATCCTTTATTTTTAATCTTTCTTATGTAATGATAAAATCACAAAGTTTGACATTTCCTGAAAATTACAGATTTGGGGACATTACTGATACAAGAGTTTTGTGTTTTATCTTTTTTTACAGTTTTATTGAGCTATAATTGACATACATCCCTATATAAGTTTGTGGCTTATAGCATAAAAAATTGGCTTACATATATTGTGAAATAATTATCACAATAAGTTGAGTTAACATCCATCCTCTTGTATAGGTACCAAAAAAATGTTTTCTTGTCATGCAAACTCTTAGGATTTATTCTCTTCACAGGTTCCAAATTTACCATACTGCAGTCTTATCTATAGGTATCATGTTGAACATTACATCCCTAGTACTTTTTATATCTGGAACTTTGTATCTTTTGACTGCCTTAATCCAGTTCTTCCCCCTGCCCCTCTCCTCTGAGTAGCTAATCTTTTTTTCTATGAGTTTGGTTGTTATTGTTGTTGTTTTAGATTCCACATGTAAGTGCAACCATGCGGTATTTGTTTTTCTCTGTCTTATTTCACTTAGCATAGTGCCTTCGGGATCCATCCTTGTTGTCAGAAATGGCAGGATTTCCTTATTTTTTATGACTGAATAATGTTCCCTTGTGTATGTCTGTACCACATGTTCTTTATCCATTCATCCATTAGAGGACACTTAGGTTGTTTCCATGTCTTGGCTATTGTAAATAGTGCTGCTTGTGAACATGGGAGTGCAGGTATCTCTTCAACAAAGAGTAACAACAAAATGTAACAGATACATTCTATAAGTGGAATTACTGAACCATATGGTAGTTCTACTTCTAATTTTTTGAGGACCCTCCATATTGTTTTCCGACAAAGAGTTATTTTGACTTTTTGTCTGTTCCTGTTTCTAAGTGATCTGATTGTTGTTTCTGTTTCATGTGGGCTCTGATGATAGTAGTGTCTTTGGACCTTACTTTTATAGTGTCCATAGCTTATTTTTGTTTTTCTTGGACAGGTTTGTGGATTGTAAGGTTTTCTTAATTAAAACCTAACTATAGTCTAGAATAACCGGGGTATTCAAAAAAATTTTTTATATTATTTTTTCTTTATTATTTTATAATTTTCTTTATTATTTATGTTAATAGTCTATTGGCAAAAGTACGATAATATGTTTTAGATTTAACCTAATTTTTTAAATGTGCAACCACATTAGCAGGAATAATGAACTAATACATAATACATGTTTTCATGGAAATAAGAATGTAAGTGATATTTGATTCTTGGGTAAGAACATAATGAAGTGCTAAAATTATTCTTGTTAATATGTACCAGAATACTCTTTCAGGTATCTTATTTTTGGAAACAAGTTAATCAAAATAAGATCCTAAATCATGTATGTGAGTTAGCAACTATTATTCCTTATATTGATAATTTTGTCTTTCATTTATTTAACATATATGTATATGATATGAAGAATATTCTGTTTTCCAATTACATGCTTGATAATGAATTTTATTCTGCTGTTATTGAAACTATGGCATGGATTCATTTTACAGACTTTTAAAATATAACTTTTAATAATCTCTAATTTTGGTAAATTGATAGATTACAAATGAATGTTATGACCTTGTGAAGTTAAGTTTTTATTGACTGAGTTTAGTATGTATAGATATGTGTAAGTATATGTATGTATGTATATGTGTATATACACACTCACTGTTATACTTTTTTTTTTCGCAAACCCTATTCACAGGTTTTAAACAAAAATGGGATGGTTGAGTTTTCTGTGACAAGTAATGAGACCATCACCATTTCCCCAGAATATGTTGGCTCTAGACTGTTGTTGAAGTTAAAGGAAATGGCAGAGGAATATCTTGGAATGCCAGTCGCCAATGCTGTTATTTCTGTACCAGCAGAATTTGACCTAAAACAGAGAAATTCAACAATTGAAGCTGCTAACCTTGCAGGTAGTATCACTTTTGCCTGAGTAGCATTTTTCTCAAAATTTTCTGAGACTGAGAATCTTCTGTATAAGGTATATCACTTTGCAGACCACCTAACAAGGCACATACATAATCTCTACAATCGGAAGGTTAGATAGATTTTGGTATAGGTTTACAAATGAAAATCAAGGAAGCTCAATGGCACAATGTAAACTGTGCATGTTATGACAACAGCCAATCAAGAAGGCACATGACAAAAGCTACAAGAGAACACATTGGCAATGAGGATTTTGTTTCTTACAAACTTTCTTTAATGTTAAGATGGATATACTTCTTAAAAATTTCCTGGTGGGGGAAAATTAATTTAACACCGTTCAAGATATATTGAGTGCCTTGGTAAAACAGATAAATCCCTGTTCTTGTGGAATTTATATTCTGTTGGAGAGAAATAGAAAATCAGTATTAAAGATAAGTACATAATGGAGTTTCTCACCCTTAGCATTGGTGATCTTTGGGCTAGATGATTCTGTGCTTTGGGGGACTCTCCTGTGCATCATAGAATAGTTAGCATCTCTAGCTCCTACTCAATAGATGCTAGCAGCACTCTCCCCTCCAAGTAGTGACAATCATATGTCTTCAGACATTGCCAGATGTCCCTGAGGGGCAAAATTGCCCCTGGTGAGATCTTGATATAGCATAGCATAGCAAGTAACATGCTGTGGAATTAAAAATTGCAGATAAGGGTACTGGGTTGCTGGTGGTGGTCAGGGAGTAGAGGAACGTGCAGGTTTTAAATACAGTGGTCAGGTAGGCTCATTGAGAAAGTGATATTTAAGTAGATTTGAAGGAGGTGAGGTCACTAGCCAAGCAGATACGTAGAAAAAATACGTTGCAAGAGAGAGAACAGCTACTGTAGCCAACTGAAAATGGGAATTTGCTGGTACATAGAAGATGAGAAGTTGGCCAGTGTGACCAGCGCAGAGTATATGATGAAGTCAGAGCTAAGGAATGAGTATTTTGGTTTTTAAATAAATTTTTCAGAGTTTGAGTAGTTTTTTATGGCTCCTGATACCTAGTACCATATACTTTCAAAACCACTGGTTAAGACTGGCAGTTAGTTTAAAGCAGGAATTTTGCTCAAGGAAATCTGGGTTTTTGCCTGAATTTTGGACTAAACATTATTTTCATAATCATGTTTGTTGTATATTTCAGATTTTCACTAAGGGTCTTGCATTTTAAGTACTTCTTAAAAGTATTATTGTAGCTTTTGGAACATTTCACCTTCATTTTTCTTTTATAATTTCTATTTATTCATCTATTCTTTTTATTAAAAAGTCATCTTAGGAGGAAGAACACAGTAAGCTCTCATTCCACAGCAATTTCTTATAGTACATAATGATTAAAGTTGTACTCATATCTTCTCAACTAATATAGAAAAGTAGAAGAGGCTGAGAGATCTTTTTAAATTAAGTATTAATAAAGAATAGAATGGTGTATCTCACTGAATCTGGATCTTATTTCTTTATATTGTAATGTTTAGAATAATTTCAATGAACCATTTAGAAAAACCTATATTTATCTTTCCCATTGTATTTATTGGGTTTATGATTGTTCTCGTTACTTAGGGGAGTTCATGTTAGAAGATACTAACGTGTTAGGAGGCTAAATGGGAAGGAATTTCTGTAATAATGTCCTCTCATGAGTTGTTCTTCACTCCAACAGGACTGAAGATCTTGAGGGTAATAAATGAACCCACAGCCGCAGCCATGGCCTATGGCCTCCACAAGGCTGATGTCTTTCATGTTTTGGTGATAGATTTGGGTGGAGGAACTCTAGATGTGTCATTGCTGAATAAACAAGGAGGAATGTTTCTAACCCGAGCAATGTCTGGTAAGAGCAACACAGAATTAAAGAAGTTAAGGCAAGGCTTTCCTTAACATACCTAATGTGTTGTTTATTTTTAATTATTTCTATATTTTTTTACTTCATTTTAGTAATCTTCTAATATGTATGCCACCACTTATATGTATTTAAGGCAAAAAGTTGAAGTCTAAAAAAAAATGACTGGGCCTTCTCTAAGTCAAGTAAATACACTATCAGTAGGACTTTTCATGGTCTGATGAAGGGAACAGAAAGAAAGAAAACTTCCTCTAAAATGAAGAGTGATCATTTTACTTCATTTAATATGTTTTACAAAATAGGTATCTTCAGAAGATGTAATAATAGTATGCTCTAGGAAATGATAGGATTTTGCATTCTAAATCTTTCTTAAAGGCTTTTGTCGTAATTTAGTTTAAAGAATTAAACCTCTTTGAGAAGTCAATCGATTAGTTATAGGTAGTGTAACTTCTGCATTTTTCTTTTTCCTAACTGGATTTATATTACACTACTCTTTTCCTTTTAAATCATTTTTTCTGTTCTTTAGCTCTATCCTGCAAACAAGAAGATTATTTGAAAAAAGATAAAATGTCTACTGGTACCTTTTAATTTTAAGAAGGACCTTTTTCTATTGAGAATAATGAACTTTAGTGTTTTTAAATATCTACCTAAAAGCCAATCTGTGTTCTTAATCTGTTTTCAAAAAAATTATTTGATATTAAGAGGTATTTCCTTTTACATAATTTAAAAATTAACCCAGATGTGAACTGTTTTTTAATACGACATATTTCAATTAAAACCATTTTAACCAAGTTATTTTTAATGTCTTTGTATAAAAAATATCTTAATAATTCATTAAGCAAGGGATTTGTTAGGCCCAGACATCATTTTATACATACATGCTACACACAGGTACATGTACACAGACACATACACACACATATATACATGCATACACATGCATAAATATAAACATTTTTATTTTTAACTTAGGAAACAATAAACTTGGAGGACAGGACTTCAATCAGAGATTGCTTCAGTATTTATATAAACAGATCAATCAGACGTATGGCTTCCTGCCCTCCAGGAAAGAGGAAATTCACAGATTAAGACAAGCTGTGGAAATGGTCAAATTAAATCTCACTCTTCATCAGTCTGCTCAGATGTCAGTATTATTAACGGTGGACGAAAAGGACAGGAAGGCACCTGAGAGTAATGACACTGAACTGCCAAATGACAGACTTTCCCCAGTGGATGGCCACCATGTGAACAGTGTGTTTGGAGCTGGCCTTTCTGAAAAGAAAAGTGGAGAAAGTCAGGTTTTATTTGAAGCAGAAATATCACGGGAGCTCTTTGATACCCTTAATGAAGATCTCTTCCAGAAAATACTCATACCCATTCAGCAAGTGTTAAAAGAAGGCCACCTGGAGAAGTCTGAGATTGATGAGGTGGTTTTGGTTGGGGGTTCTACTCGGATTCCTCGAATCCGCCAAGTCATTCAAGAGTTCTTTGGAAAGGATCCCAACATATCTGTAGACCCTGACCTGGCAGTGGTGACAGGAGTTGCTATCCAAGCAGGGATTGATGGAGGCTCTTGGCCTCTCCAAGTCAGTGCTTTAGAAATTCCCAATAAGCATTTGCAAAAGACCAACTTCAACTGAATGATGGAGGAATGATTATTTGTGATTGTCTGATAGTCTCTTCTTTATCAGACCACCTCCTCCAATAAAGTCTCAAATGTCTTACAGATTTACCAAGAAGGCAACATTTAGATACATAAAAATTTTACATAACATTTTGTTTTAGGATTAAATGTGACCAGATTGATCCTGTCTGATTTTGGAGAGATGCTATTCCAATTAATACTTATAAAGGAATTGAGGTAAAATTCTCTTATAGGAGCATGGGTAGCTGTATTTTCTGGATTCTGGAAGTAGGTAACCATGTGTACTTAAAATGATATTCTGTAAACATTGCCTAGTACCAATTACAAGATTCCCAGTTCTTTCTAAATTATATTAGCCAGAGCTGGTAATTTATTTCTTTGGTTCTTACATGTAACTATTAATTGAACTATACTTGAAGGACAGTGTTGATGTCAGG